GGGCTCCGTGTTCACCTGCGCCCGCGGCAGCGCAGCCTCGCCCTGCTCGCCACCCCGGGGCTGCTGTTCTCTAGAAGTCTGGCACCGGTCTTAGGCCTCTCGCTCGTCCTGTGCGCTGCCTTGTCTCCATTCCCTGCAATTTCAAATCTCCACGCTCCTTCATTCCTGCGATACCGGCTGATTCTGGTTTGGAGGAGCAGATCTGCAATCCTCTCACATGCACACTCTTGTGGCTGAATGAAGTTTATTGCTGCACAGGTTAACGCCGGAGATGTACATCTGAGAGATGATACAGTCCAATAAGAGCAGCCAGTATCCAGATGTTAATGGCCGTTGGATTATGTTTACTTAAGAGAGGAAGGGTAAATTTATGTAGCCAAATCACTCTAAGAAGTTTGAAAGCTTCATTGTACAGTACCTCATTTGTGCAATAAATAAGCTTTGAAAATGAAGAGTTGCAGAAATAATTTCCTACTTTTTCAAAGCAGTATCCAGACTTCAGTTGTGTCTGTCTGAATAATCTGACGTTAATGAGGAATACATCTGTAATACTACAGTTGCTTTGACCATGGACAGTGAATTTACCCAGGCTGAAGCTGGGGGTGTTTAGCCTGGAGGAGACTCAGGGGAGACCTTATCACTCTCTTCAACTACCTGAAGGGAGGTTGCAGTCAGGTGAGTACTGGGCTCTTTTTCCAGGCAACTAGCAACAAGACAAGAGGGCATGGCCTCAAGCTGCTCCAGGGGAGGTTTAGGTTGGATGTTAGGAGTTCAATGATCTTTGCCAGTCCTCCTCAAGTCGTTGTAGACTATTACCAGATCTCCCCTTATTTTCTTCTTTGGCAGGCTAACCAAGCCCAGCTTGTACATCTCTTCATGAGCCCTATGCTCATGATGGCCACTCACCATCTCATCAGCCCTCTGCATTCCCCTCTTCTGTTTCTCAGCACCCTTCTCAAACTGGGGAGCCAAAACCAGGATATACTATCCCAAGTATGGACTCACCAGCACTGAATATGGAGGGATAGTACTTCCTATTCATCAGCTGTCCATGCTCCCCTCCTAATGTGGTTCAGTTTAAGGTTCACTTTATTCACAACAAAAACACCCTGTTGGCTCATATTTAACTTCGTGTCCACTGTGACAGCTTTTCAGCTGGGCTGCTGCTCAGGCTGCCCACTGTGGTGCCTGGCACTACTCAGCCCCATGTGCACAACTTTGCACTCCCTGTTAAACTTCATGAGGTTTCTTTTGACACAGTTTTTAAATTTCTTGAAGTCTTCTCAACTGAAGCTCCACTGTTTGGCTTGATAACCACTCTATCTAAGTTAGTAT